ATGTCCATCTTTTTGAACAGTAATATCGAAAGGGTAGGGCAAATTTGGAAGAAAAAAGAATTGGCCAGATGGATTTTTTATTTTTTATTATTATTTTATTTATTTTTGGGTTCAAAAGAGAATGCCTTTAGACAAGACAGGACAAATTTGATAAAGAAAAGGTTTGCATTGGCATAGAGTCTAATCCTAGATTTTCTAACTTTGACTGCTTATGGGTAATGACCTGGCTAAATTTATTAGCTTTTCCCTTTTTATGATTGGAAATTTTGGTTCATGTTCTTATTAATGTTTTGAAAATGGATTTGGATATGTATGTTCTTGTTTGGCCCTCATTTTTTGATAATGAAAATGAGTGAAATAATATATTTTTTTAAAAATGAGCGGTTGAAAAAGTAGGAAAAATTTTCGATTTACGTATAATATTATTTTATGAAAGATTGAGTGGTTGAAAATAGGAAAGAGAAAAATAGAATGTAATGTAATTTAATAGGGACCAAAAGGGGGCATATTTCGTTTTTAATTTTTGTGCCAGTTGGATACATAGAAGTTTTGATCGCGAAGGATTAAGAAAAGAAATTATACAAATAAAAAATAATTTTTCAAACAACCAAATAGCACCTTTGCCAACTCGAGCACTTCAAAAGAAACTAGGCGTAGATCGATAGGATTAGAAATAGTAGACACTGATTTGAGAAATCAGTTTTGGGCCATTTATATGCTTCATAAATCAAACTTTAACATCAAGGGGCCCAATCGATAGGCCCATCTTAGAATAACACTATTGGTCCATTAAGATTACATGGATCCTTCTAGGAAAGGCCCAAATGTGAAACGACATCGTATCATGTAAGAAATGGAGCCAAATATTGCCCACTAGGGCTTAGAGTCGGCCATTCCAGGTCTGAACGAAGTGCGGCTAACTCAGCAACTGCACCAACAATGGTTCTCAAGTAAATTTCTCTCTCTCTCTCTCTCTCTCTCTCTCTCCCCCCCCCTCCCCAACCCTCTATACACACACACATCTGTATGTAATTGAATATTCCGAGATGTCTTTATCATAATCGATCTAGAATGGATACACCACTACACCAGCTTTTTTAATTTTTAACATATTTTACATTTAACTGCTCGTGGAATTCAATTGGAGCAGTTTCTTTCTTTCTTTCTTTCTTTTTTTTTTTAATGTCGTAGATTTTCTGCTATGGTAATAGTTTTAGCGGAAATGATAATCTTTCAATGAAGAACTACATGTACCAGGTGATTTACAAAGTTATTATTAAACCATGATTGTTAAGGTTCTAAACAATTGCATCAGAAGAATATAGGGACATGCACGTCTAATTTGGTATAACACTTGTTTTTAAGATGAATCATTTTCGTGGTGTCAAGGCTGTTTTATTTGTTGAACTCTTAGTTTCTATTTGGGATTTATAGGTTACAGTATTCGAATGGATGCTGATGCTGGGAAGTTGAAAATTTGTGATGAAATTGTGGGTCAACTTGAAATTAATTTTTTATTTTTGTCTGAGTACCAGACTGAATAGCCAAACGAAATGATTGGATACTTATTACTTAGCAGACATGATTTGATGTGTTCGTCTGTGATAATACCTGCAACTCTTTTTGTACGTGACTCAACTTTTATGTTGGTTATTAAGAGAAATGGTTCCTCCCTCTCAATTGTGAGTCTAACTTTGATCACCCAAAAATTTCCTGCCTCATTATGATGGATTTTGCTGCTGCAGTTTGTGTATCAATTGATAACTTATGAGCCTTCTATGTAATTGATGTTTGATTTCAGAGTTTTATTCTAACTCAACAAGCTCTCTTATTATTAATATTGGTTAATCAGGACAGAGCTATGTCGCTTCAGTGGAGCCAAGATATACCCAGGGAAGGGTATCAGATTTATTCGCTCAGACTCCCAGGTCAGCTAATATGGTCGTGTTTACAAATTTTTAATATGATATTTTTTCATTTTTCATTTTTAATACTTTATATCAATGTAACTTTTCATTCTTGCAAATCTATACATTTTATGCTGCTTTCATCTCACATCAATCCCTCGTCTTTCGAAGCAGTTTCCGCTCAAATATTTGTGGGTTTCTGTGTTAAATTAACAGTAGGTTTTGTATGGTGAATTAGACTATATTACGAAGAAAAAGAAGTTAAAATCTTTTCAACTTTCCTGTCTAGTCATATTCAATAATGCATAAAAAAATACGTTCTAAAGCAGCTGTGTCACCTTTTTTTTTTTTTCCCTCCATCTCAAGGTCTTCCTCTTTGCCAACTCAAAGTGCAAGAGGTATTTCCACAACCGCCTTAGGCCTGCAAAGCTTACATGGACTGCCGTGTACAGGAAACAACATAAAAAGGTGAATCAAACTCAATAATTCCTTTTGCTTTTATTGTTTTTCCCCTTTCCGTATGTTTCTGTGAGAGATAAATTGGCTTTCTTTGTGGGTCATGGTCTTTTTTTAATTGGTTTCTTACTGATTTATAGGATATAGCTGCAGAAACTGTGAAGAAGAGGCGTCGTACCACCAAGAAGCCTTACTCAAGGTCAATTGTCGGTGCTACCTTGGAAGTGATCCAGAAGAAGAGAGCTGAGAAGCCAGAAGTCAGAGATGCTGCACGTGAAGCTGCTTTACGGTGTGTTGAGAGTTCAAATGTTTGATCATCATCAGTACTCTTGTTAAGAAATTGTGTGTAGAACCATGTTAACATGTAGTATGTTTTCTCAGTGAAATTAAGGAGAGAATCAAGAAAACCAAGGACGAGAAGAAGGCAAAGAAGGCAGAACTGATGTCCAAGACAAAGACTTCTAAGGGTAACGTCCCTAAGGGTGCTATGCCCAAGGGTCCTAAGCTTGGAGGCGGCGGCGGCAAAAGATAAATTGTTTCCTGGCAACTTTCTAATGAATGATATTGGGCGACTGACAATGTTCTGTTCCTATATTGATTTTCTTGTTAACAATTTGATGTGGCTAAATTCTATTTTCTATGTTTTGTGAGCATTAGCTTGAAAGATTTATTTGGCGCGGAGTTCTTTTTTTTTTCTTTTTTCTTTTTTAACGTGAAATAGCGTATTTTCTTTTTTTGATCTGCAAGTGTTTAAGATGAAACCAACATCTCGTTCACATTAGGAGAATATGGTTGCTTTTAGTAGTTGCATTTCTTGGCTTTTAACCTTTGGGGTCATTTCATCAATTTTTATTTAGGTGAGGTTTACTCAATGGGTTTATAAGAACAATATCAGGTACCTTTCTACATGTTGCCCTCAGTGCTTATAGGCTTATAGCACGACTTAGGAGTTCCGTAAGATGAAGTTCAGTGATGGGCGGACAGTAGCGTCATTGGTTCCGAAAAGCAGTGTGGATGGTAGTATATATGGAAAATGCTGTGTGTACACCAGAAGGTGTACACACAGGTTTACACCCCCCTCACATGGAAGGGGTCCACGAATATTTTATTACATGTGGGGCTCCCTCCATGTGAGGGGGTGTAATGCTATTTGTACACTATTGTGTACACATAGCATTTCCCAGTATATGTTGTGCTTCTTGAAAGAACATGTAGAAACGTAAGGCAAAAATATTAAATAAGTAACTTTTAACTTAAAATCATGTTGAGGCATGTGAGATTGTTGAAAATTGAAAGGGCCATCTGAAAGTTCTTTGAATAAGCATTTTATTGGACCATGACAGCAGCCTAAAACACTAATTGTCCGTAAACGTCTTGATTTCTTTCTAGGTATAACTATCTATAGGATCGATTTTCCTGTTTATAGTGAATATGAGATATCTTGTCCATTGATGAAATGACAAGGTGTGTCTATGAGAAAGAGATCCGTCATGCGACTATTTATACTTTTGATTTCTTAAAATACTTGCTATTTTAATAGATGCAAAAACAGATATACACATACAAGTGCAAACCAATAACTATGATAGATCAAACCACTTCCATTTGTTAGACCCACCATCGTGACGACCACATCTTCCCTTTTATCTCTTTTTCTTCTTCAATAGTGTGACACAAATAAATGGAAGTTGCGACGACAACATAAGATTATTTGTTAAAAGTATTAAAGGGTCTTTCGGTCTTATTCATATTCTGATCAAAAACTTTATTTCTTAAAAGGATTTAATCCTTTACCTCTCAATGAAAAATTAGAGAAAAAAATAAAAATTCTCGTGATTTCTATCCACCGACTTTACATTTTAGCCATCCAGCGATCCTGATCTATTTGAAACTAGCTTGAATTCATTTACCCATAGATCCTCCCTTTGGCAGCATCCACTAATTCGGAACTTAATTTGAAAGCCATATTTCGACCCGGACGTTTTCGGGATGCCGCTAATAACCAACGAATGGCAAGTGCTTAATCGGACGAGAATAAAGATAGAGTCCCATTCTACATGTCAATACCGGCAACAATGAAATAGGCAGTGGCTTGGTTAAGGGAACCCACCGGAGCCGTAGCGAAAGCGAGTCTTCATAGGCCAATGATTTCTTTCCGTGTTTCAGAATACGGTTAACCAACATGTTAACTAATCGATTACAATAAATTGGATCGGATTTTGCTGTTTTTTCTTCTGCACCTATTAAAGCGACTAAAAGAATTATTGAAATGAGTTCAAATGGAAGAAAAAAATCTGTTGATAAATGAATTCCAATTTGTTGGCTATTACTTATCAAATCTTGCCAAATGAACAAATTCAAACTTGAAAAGGATCTTTCTGATTCTCGAAGAATGAGGGGCAAAGGGATTGATCGAGAAAGATCTCTGTTATAGCCATTTTTGTACATTCAATGTACTCTACGGATAGAGGAATACATAGAGTTGAACATAGTAAAATAAGAAATTGAAAGATTTCGCAATAAATGCAAGAATATTTACTTCCATAATCTCATCGGTTTTTTTACTTCGCAATAACTCGGGATTTAATCCCATAGAGATGATAAATCTTTCGCCTGTAAATTCAATGATCCGGCAAAAGGAGGATTATTCAGGGCAGGTTCAATGGATAACGGAGATGGAATAGCGGTTGGATGGTTAGGACACCCTATCTTTAGAGATAAAGATCCTTTACTCCGACAGCATCTAGGGTTCCTCGAACAATGTGATATCTTACACCGGGTAAATCCTTAACCCTTCCCCCTAACAATTGGTTATAAGTGGTGGCGATGATGCACATGGTGGAAATAGGTAAATAGAATATGTAGCAACGTGTTGGTTATAAGTGGTGGCAATGATGCACATGGTGGAAATAGGTAATAGAATATGTAGCAACGTGTAATATATATGTTACAAACTGCATTGTGAAAATGAAAAATATAAAAAACTCACTAAGAAATACAATATTTTGATAAGAAAAAGATTGAATAATGTTAGAAAATTGTTTGGGCTTTTAGTTTATTTTGTGTAAAGTCCACTTCTTATTACTTGGTGTCAAAAAGGTTTGGAAGGTCTAGGCGCGAAGAAACTCGGTTAAGAGACTGGTTCAATGTGAAACTTGAGTCAATCATGAAAAGAATTGTCACGGAAATCCCTCGATGGGTTCAGAAAATAATCAAACGAACATCGGTTTACCTCTGCTCGACTCGAGACTTTCGCCTTCACTTTGGATTGTTCTCTTTCTCTCTAACCCCACAAAGGAGAAGGGTGGCGGTGTTAGCAATCCACAAATGTATGAAGAGGAAGAAGAAAATGTCACAATGGTTGAATCTCACTCACAACCTCACATGGCTTCCCTCTCTTTCGGCTGCCTCTCTTCTCTCAACTCTCCTCTCCATTGCTACAACACACACACACACACATACATGCAAAACGGTTGGGAGATAGATACATATATATAGGTTAGTTTAGGTCACCAAATATGGGCCAAGAGATCTTTAAGTGGGCTGCCATATAAGTCACCAAATATGGGCCAAGAGATCTTTAAGTGGGCTGCCATATAACCTAAACTAATGGGCCAATTTCCAACTCCATATTAACCACTAAATGGTCCAACTAACCAAATGATCATCCAACCCAAAATCGAGCCATCCAAAAGTGTAGTTCGTCTTCGAGCTGAGCCAAGTTCATGGTGTCGATAAATAATCCGACAACTGTTTTAAATCATCGCCCGAATTACTGGGTATGAAAAAACCCAATAATCTCCACCTTGATACCCAATAATCTGCAAGCAACCAAAACACACAATTTATACTTGCACAATCAAGGTAATCCAATAAAATTGGAATCACAGACCTTACCTCGTGTTTTGAATCGAAACACATACCATACTTGCTCCATGTACTCACCACGACTAAGGTCAAGAACACCCAAGTAGAAATAAGTATTCACAGTGAACAAACAATCATGCGATAAAGATATATAGGATATAACACACAGAGATCTTTTCAAAATCGCGTTCACACAGAACCACAGATTAACACCTAGTTAATCAACACATAGTCACGCATGTATGCAACAAATGCATAAATGACCCCATGAAAGATCTCACCACACTTATCCTATCCCATTCAGTGTTATTCCCACCTCGAGAACACATAACTCCTCTCATTGCCCATCATGCTCACTAAACTAATCACTCAACTCATGTCTAACGGGCAAGTCACAATAGATCCTAAGCTCTCGGGATAATCCTCTATCACTACAATACTTCTCCCAACCTACGTGGATAATGAGACTCCACCTTACAGAAGTGATAGAAGTGCCTCTCTCACACTCCACCTGATCAGGGTCTCTTTCACAGATAAATGATTCTACACATCTCCATTCGTGATCCAAATGTCACACTCCACATCCCCTGGTACAAACCACAATGTACCCTTGGACATCTATACTCCACCTTACTAAAAGACATACAACTCACTGCAAATGCATCTCAAACTCACTATGGCAAATCAACACCATTTGGTGACCACAAAGGTTACCTCACTCACCAATGCTCCAAAAAGTCCACAAAGAAAATAGTGAAGATGACACTCTCAAAGAGAACCGAAGAAAGAGTCGGTTACTCCACTACACTCATAAAAGAGACTCACAAAGAGAAAGAAGGTAACCCTAACATGTCTGCCTCACATAATCTCACAAACCACACAGGCTCACAAAGATAAAGGAGAGAAACGACTGCCATAACTTTCTTCTCACTACCACACTCTCACAGAGCAAACAGAGTATGTCACAAAACTCGACCACTATGAATGTAAACATATTACAAAAAGTAATAAGATCACCCTCAATTCATGCAATTACACACATCAAACATATTGAAAGTGTAATATCAACATTGCAACAAAATTAAGTGACCACATACATGCAGAAAAGATTACACACAGATGCAATGCAGTAACCAGCTTTATTCTCTCAATAAAACCTCACTAGGATCACTACTCGACCCTGAAGTTACATTCGCATCGTCTCTATCCTCATCTTTCCTTTTATTATCATCCTAGGACAATTTTTTTTAACTATGTCTACCACAGTTGAAACATATTTTATTTTTCGCACTTGCCTTAGACCTATACATGCCAACAATGCCAAATAATGACCATAAGCAAAGTACTGACACATAATTCACACAGAATAGTCAAGTAAACTTTCCTAAGGTCACATGCAATTCTATTGGTGTAAAAAAATTAGTGACAAATTCACATAGAATTTAAGGCAATTAATTAACATGTCAATGGTTACCCCAAACCTAATGTCAACCCACACGATGACTTCTAATGCGAAAAAATAAATAATTAACTTACACATTAAGCTTAACTACAATAATAAAAGATAAAGAATACGATACCGAGCGGACCACGTCTAAAGGTCCATAAATATCAAGAGATGCGAATTCACCACTTTAGGACTATCACTATTCATCCTAAAGTCACCAGCAACCACAACACCAAAACAGCACTCGGCACACGAACGTCCAAGGGTAAAATCATCCAACTTTTACTGCATTGCTCAAAACTAAAATTCGAAAACACCGCAGGGTCCGTATCGTCACCAGCAACATTCTGTCTGAAGACACCATCGTCGAATTCCGACCGACT